AGTCTAACCACCAGCTATGAGATATGTTGATTAGATTCTCAGCTGTGCGGTTTACACTAGAAGGAAATTTATTTGAGATCATTTTTAAAAATGTATCCTTAGAGAACTTTGAAATGTAAAAGGACATAATCTCCCTAAGGTAGCGATTTTCAACCTTTTTTATGGCATACGTAAACGAATTACTAAATTTCTGCTGCACACCAAAAAAACAGTATGTTATTTATTTATTTTTTTGCCAATCTGACAAAAAAAATAGGTATAATTTTGATTCATTCACTCCGCGGGCAGCTATTGTTGTGTTGGCTGTTGTCATTACTTAAATTTAACAATCTAAGGAAAAGAGGTCAGTGCCTCTTTTCATGTTTTAAAAATTCTTGCAGCACACCTGTCTGTCTCTTGCTGCACACCAGTTGAAAATCGGTGCCCTGAGGTAATCAATTCCAAATAGGGCTGATACAACAAAAACACTATTTTTAATTTGACTATTTTTGGTTTTTGTGTCATCTATACTAACAAAAGCCTAGGTGGTCCTTACGTCCTCACGCAATGCCCTCACATCATCACAAGATGGCCACCATAAGATGGCCAGCAGGGGATGGCAATTGGGAGTGATTGGGCCAACAGGGGATGGCAATTGGGGATGATCAGGCCAGCAGGGGAGCAGTTAGGCGTCAATCAGGCCAGCAGGGGTGGGGTTAGGGGGCAATCAGGCAGACAGGCAAGCGGTTAGGAGCCAGCAGTCCTGGATTGTGAGAGGGATGTCCAACTGTGGGATCAGGCCTAAACCGGCAGTTGGACAACCCCCCGAGGGGTCCAGATTGGAGAGGGTGCAGGCCGGGCTGAAGGACACCTCCCCCCTTCTGTGCATGAATTCTGTGCACCAGGCCTCTAGTATTAAATAATTCTTTGCCAAATCAAAGGTCATATTTCCCACTATGTGTGTTTCTAAGAATGTTATAATTGTACTTCAGATTTAGGTCTTTGATCTATTTTGGTAAATTATTGTATGTGGTGTAATGTAAGGATCCAACTTAATTCTGTTTAAAAATATTTTTTTATTGATTTCAAAGAGGAAAGGTGAGGGAACGAGAGATAGAAGCATCAATGATGAGAGAGAATCATTGATTGGCTGCCTCCTGCACACCCCTTACTGGGGATTGAGCCTGCAACCTGGGCACGTGCCCTGACCTGGAATCTAACCATGGCCTCTTGGTTCATAGGCCCATTGTCAACCACTGAGCCATGCCAGCTGGGCTTAATTCTTTTGAATGTTGCTGTCTAGTTGTCCCAGCACCAATTTTTAAAAAGAATACTCTCTCTTCATTCTTAGCATATTTTTCAAAAATCACATGACCATGATAAATGGGTTTATATCTGGAATCTCAATCTACTGCATTGATCTGTGTGTCTGTCCTTGAGTCATTACCACATTACCTTGGTTACTATTGTTGAATAGTATGATTTGAAATCAGGAAATAGTCCTACTACTTTGTTTTACTTTTGGTTTCACTACTCTAGTTGTCCTGCAATTCCATATGAATTTATGAAACATCCTGACAATTTCTATAAAGAAGTCAGCTGAGCCCTGACCGGTTTGGCTCAGTGGCTAGAGCGTCGGCCTGTGGACTGAAGAGTCCCAGGTTCAATTCCAGTCAAGGGCATATACCTTGGTTGCAGGCACATCCCCAGTGGGGGGTGTGCAGGAGGTGGCTGATCGATGTTTCTCTCTCATGGATGTTTCTGACTCTCTATCCCTCTCCCTTTCTCTCTGTTAAAAAAATCAATAAAATATATTTTTTTAAAAAAGAAGTCAGCTGAGATTCTGTCAGGGATCGTGTTGAATATGTAGATCATTTTGGGAAGCATTGCCATCTCAACAGTGTTAAGCCTTCTGATCTGTGACCATTGGCTATTTTCCCTATCATTTATTTAGATCTTTACATAATTTTGGGGGAGTTCACCCCTTTTTTCTCTTGACTCTATTAATCAGGGAGAAATAAAGAGTAAGGGAAAAGGATGGCATTATTTCAAGGCTTGTACTCATTTTTATTAAAGATTTGCAATGTCCAAATATATAAATCCCCACCCAACCACACCCCAATTCTTTCCATTTCCAAAAATGCAAATCAAATTTTGGCAATAAAAATGTTTAATGGTTATTATTACTAGAAATTAATTTCAGGGAAAACGTGGCTATGCCCTAGCGCTAGCCGGATTGGCTCAGTGGATAGAGCGTCGGCCTGTGGACTGAAGGGTCACGAGTTCAATTCTGGGCAAGGGCACATGCCTGGGTTGTGGGCTTGATCCCCAGGAGGGGGCATGCAGGAGGCAGCCAATCAATGATTCGCTTTCATCATTGATGTTTCTACCTCTCTCTCCCTCTGCCTTACTCTCTGAAATCGATAAAATATATTTCAAAAAAAGAACCACTCCTCTTACCACACAACCACAGTAATTGAAGCACCTTGGAGAACAGCATGAAGTAGCCTCAGCAAAGCGACCAGCTCTCCCTATTTTTTCCTGTGAGAAGTAGAGCATTTTCTGCCCAGATGGGGTCACAGCTGGAACCATACAATTCCCAGGGCAAGTACCAGCAGGGTGTGGAAGGGCGGGGATGCAAGGTGATTTCTGCAGCAGCAGGTTCCTGAAGTTCAGCCGGGTGAGAGAAGAGACCAAACATATGCATCTTCCCCAGTGAACTCGCATTCTTAGTAGGAGGTCATTTATTTGAGGTTTCTCGAGATGGGAGAGGAAACAAAATAAAAAGCCAGAGGTATTCCAGAGTAGAAAATCAGAATGATTTCTAGAAAAAATGCCTATTGCTTTCCAGATAGCTGTGAAAAGGGAGATGAAAAAAAGGTGATGAAATGCAAATACAATCTCCATCTCAGTTCTTCATGGTGAATACCCACAGACCTTTCTTCCTGCTGTGTATGGTGACTGATGCTGCTCCTCCCTGTGTGGGCCTCCTGGTAAGCTGAGTCCTGGGTGAAACGTGTGCCCTCCTTTCCTCTCTCCATTGAGGTCACCTGTGGTTCTGTGGCTCTGCCCTAGGCTGCCTGTGTCAGGTGGCCTCCAAGTTCTTCTGTGTCCCAGGCTCGATGGGGTTATTGCTGCTGTTTGGGTGGGGCTGTTTGTCTCAGATGATACTAAAGGTGAGCATTTCCTCAGGGACTGGAGAGAGGCAATGGTCAGAGCCAGGAATCTGACCTTGGTTCATCCAATGGAGAGGATACCTGGCAAGGAGTGATTTCATCATTGTCAGAATGAATGTTATGCTCGTATCATAGACTCACCAATCGGGGGGGTTATTACTTCGATGAAACCCAGATTTCTAAGTCTCGTTATTGTGGATTAAACAGTGTAACCACAAGTAAGTGACTGAGTCACAAGTGAGAAAACCTAACCACCTACTTGTATTTTCCATGTCAGGAACATTTTCTCTCTTTAATTAAAAATGTCTTCTAAATTATTTTTTTAAATTCTTTTAAAACATGTGTTGTTGTTTTTTTACATGTTGTTAATCCTCACCCAAGGATATTTTCCCCATTGATTTTCAGAGAGAGTGGAAGGAAGGTATAGAGATAGAGAGAAACATGGATGTGAGAGAGACACATCCATTAGTTGCCTCTTGCAGGTGCCTGCCCAAGGGCTGGATGGAGCCTACCACCAAGGTAGTGCCCTTGACCTGAATGGGACTCATGAGCTTTCAGTCCAAGGGCTGATGCTCTTAACCACTGAATAAACCCAGCTAGGGCTAAATATGTTTTTATTGTCATAGAGGAAGGCAAAGGGAGAGGGAGATAGAAACATCAATGATGAGAATCCTCCAGGGCTGCCTCTGTCCCTTAATGGGGATCAGTCTGCAACCCTGGCAAGTGCCCTGACTGGGAATCAAACTGTGACCACCACTGAACAACATGGGAGGGTATGTCAGGAACATTTTTTAAAGTTAACCATTCTTCCCAACCGGCATGGCTCAGTGGTTGAGCGTTGATATATGAACCAGGAGGTCACAGTTCGAATCCTGATCAGGGCACATGCCGGGGTTGTAGGCTCAGACCTCAGTGTGGGGTGTGCAAGAGGCAGCTGATCAATGACTCTCTCTCATCAGTGATGTTTCTGTGAGATCCATGCCGAAAGGAGCCAGGCCAAGAGACGTTGTGAGAGTTTAAGACACTTTATTACCTTGTCTCACAGCGGCTGAGGCTATTGTGTGGGCGTCAGCAGGGCAGAGTAGGGAGAGCTGGATATTTATGTCTCTAGTGAAGGTCAGTCAGAGTAACCAGTCGGACCAGGTGCAGGTGGGGGCCAGGTGTAGGCGGTCCGCTGGGAACTGGGTGAGGCGGTTTACTGCAAACCGAAGACCGTTATTATGAAACCTACAATGAGAATGATAGGAAAATCGCAGGGGAGGGGCAAGAGCCCCCAGCAGGGCACAACCGAGTGCAAGAATGTGCCTAACAGTTTCTATCTCTCCTTCTCCATTCCTCTCTGAA